GTATCTTTCTTCAGAAGAGCGGCTAGTGGGTTCAAACTGCCAACCCTTCTGTTTAGCAGCCGCCGGAGGAGACTGATTAGGCAGCCGCCAGGGTCACATGAGACATGAGGACCAGCTGAAAGAACTGGGTATTTAGTCTGGAGTAGGGAATACAAGCACAGAGGAAGGAAGGGACAGAACTGTTTTCACCAACAGGAAGCCTTGTTATGGCTGCGGAGGGGAGACTTTAGATCCTTAGAAAGTAGTTGCATGTAGGTAGTTACATATAGGTTCAATTTAAGGCAAAACTATCTAACCATTTTAGCTGTTTAACAGTGAGATGGGCTGTTTTGTGAGGTTATGATATCCCTGTCCATGGAATTGGCTAATTTACTACTTGGTAAAAATTTTGGAGGGGTTGTGTAAGGGGTGAGAATTTGGACACAATGACAATCACATGAGTTGTTGTTAGGTGCTGCTGAGTCGATTTCAACTCATAGCAAACCCATTTGACAGAGTAGAACTGCCTCATAGGGTGTCCTAGGCTATGATCTTTACAGGAGCAGATTGTCAGGTCTTTCTTCCTCAGAGCTGCTGGGTGGGTTCCAACCGCCAACCTTCCAACCGCCGATCTTTAATTTAGCAACCGAATACTTACCCATTGTGCTACCAGGGCTCCTAATCACAAGACTACCAAAACCCAAAAAGACAGACAATAAACCCCCCCCCCAAAAATCAAACCTGTTGCCGTCAAGTAGATTCTGACTCATAGGGACCGTATAGGACAGAGTAGAACTGCCCCATAGCATTCCCAAGGCTGTAATGTTAATGGGAGCAGATTGTCAGATCTTTCTCCTATGGAGCCACTGGTGGGTTAGAACTGCCAACCTTTTGGTTAGCAGCCAAGTGCTCACCCTTTGTGCCACCACGGCTCCCTATCACAAGAATAGTTACCTTTTATTTTATTCCCACCACAACCCTGAGAAGTAGATATTATTATCTCTATTTTGCAGATGAGAAAACTGAGGTGCTGAGAGGTTAACTTGCCCAAGGTCACCCAATTGTAAGTGTCAAAACCAAGACTCAGACTGAAGTCTTTAATGCAATTTCCATTCTTTTCTCCTTTCCTACCCTACAATTTTAAGATGCAAACAACCTCTGGTTCAAGGTGGATCCCTGGACAGTTTTGTTTCCAAGGTCCTCAATTTGCTTGTCTAGAAAGCAGGCGTATTGATTTCCTCTCCCTCTCTATCCTGCAGGAAGGTTGAGAGTAAAAGTGAAGTGGTTAGTTGCTGTCGAGTTGGCTCTGAGTGATGGCTACCTTATGGATAAAAGAATGAAGCATTGGCTGGTCCTTTGCCATCTTCATGATCGTTGATATGTTTGCGTCCATTGTTGCAGCCTCTTTCAGGCTCTGGTAACATTCTAATTATTGATCTGGTTGGTGGTTATCCAGGGTTATGTACACTTATGGTCTGTGAAGTCTTATATATGTTACACTTCACTCACGAAAAAGACTGAAGCAGCTCCTTATGCGCTGATATTGAAGGATTTCCAATATATTTTGTAGGTAAAATGGTAGAGTAGTGGTAATTGGACATCCGAACCAAACCAAACCCATTGTCAATCATCTCATTGAAGGTTTCTCTCGTTTTCTTTGGCCCTATACTTTACCAAACGTGATGTCCTTTTCTAGTAATTGGTCTCTCCTGATGACGTGTCCAAAGTAAGCAAGACAAAGTCTTGCCATCCTCGCTTCTTAGGAACATTCTGATTGTATTTCTTCTAAGACTGATTTGTTCGTTCTTTTGGCAGTCCACCATATATTCAATATTCTTTGCCAACACCATAGTTCGAATGCATCGATTCTTCTTCTCCCTTTTCATTTTTCAACTTTCACAGGCATATGAGGTAATTGAAAAGACCATGGCTTGGGCCAGGTACACCTGAACTAACTTAAAACTTCTCCCTATCCTGGCAAAAATCTCTATATAAATATATTTTTAAAGCCAAATTAGCCTTATATTTTGAATAGGTAGTACAAGTACATGGTACAAAATTCAAAATATACAAAATGGTGGGCGGTGAAAAGCAAATATTCCTCTCACATCTGATCTCCAGTTATCTACCCAGTTTCCTTCTTAGGAGACAGACAATGCTAATAGTTTCACATGTATCGTGAGGAGATGTCTCTTCTGTACATATACAAGGAAGAACTTGTATATTTTTTTTCCACAAATGGTGGCATGCTTTACACACAACTCTATGAGTTAGCTTTTTTTAATAGACTCTATTTTTGAGAGCAGGTTTAGATTTACAGAAAAAATATGCAAAACTACAGAGAGCTCCCATATACGCCCTCTCCCCGCTGCACACAGTCTCCCCTATTACTGACACCTTGCTTTCATGTAGTATACTTGTTACAATTGATCAACCAATATTGACGCATTATTATTAACTAAAGTTTATAGTTTACATTAGGGTTCACTCTGTTGTATAGTTCTATGGGTTTTGACATACAACTTAACTTTTTACACCTATTAATGTATTAGCTTGAACTATAGGGTTGCTGTGAGTTGAAATCGACTTGACAACAATGGGTTTGGTTTGGTTGGGATGTCCAGTTACCAATACTCTACCATTTTACCTACAAAATATATTGGAAATCCTTCAATATCAGCGCATAAGGAGCTGCTTCAGTCTTTTTCGTGAGTGAAGTGTAACATATATAAGACTTCACAAATCATAAGTGTACATAACCTGGGTAACCACTAACCAGATCAATAATTAGAATGTTACCAGAGCCTGAAAGCCCCCTTGGGTCCTTCCCAATCACTGCCTGATTTTAAATTTTATATAAATGGACTCATCCAGTCTTTAAAAAATTGCTTTCACAATAGTCCATTTTTAGAAGTCCCTTACTTTATGTAACCCTATTGATGCCCTATTGATGGATCTTTAGGTGGTTTATACTCTTTTTCTGCTATAAGCAAGGGGGGTATGGACAGCCTTGTAAGTATAATGTATTTTTTTTAATTTTATTTATTTTGTTGTTGAGTATAATGTATTTTTTAAAATGGTTTATTATAGAAAATTTCAAATATATACAAAGTAGATAGAATAGTTTAATGGACACTCAGCTTCAACGACTATCAACATTCTGCTGTTCTTTTTTAAAAAAAAAACTATTTGTAGTAAAATATATATAACAAAACATTTGCCAATTCAACATTTTTTACATGTACAATTCAGTGACATTGGTTACGTTTATCATGCTGTATAACCATCATCACTATTTGTTTACAAATTATTCCACCACCATTAATAATAATAAACTCAATGTCCTTTAAGCTCAGACTCTCCCTTTTCTCCTCCCTTCTGCCCCTGGTAACCACTAATAAACTTTGGTCTCTATACATTTGCCTATTTCATGTAAGTGGGATCATAAAATATTTGTCCTTTTGTGACCGACTTATTTCACTTCAGCGTTTTCAAGATTCACTGTGTTGTAGCATGTATCTGGATTTCGTTTCTTTTTATGGCAGAGTAATATTCCATTGTATGTATAAACCACATTTTGTTGATGGACACTTTGGTTATTTCTACTTTTTGGCTATTGTGCTGTAATGAACATTGTTGTACAAGTTTCTGTTTGTGTTCTTGCTTTCAATTCTTTTGGTATATTCTGCTCTCAATATACCTAGAACTGGGATTACTGGGTCATATGGTAGTCCTGTATTTAACTTTTTCAGGAACTGCCACACTGTTTTCCTACATTCTGTCCTTCTTGTTTAACGTAATGCACTTTTTGAGCGGGATTCCGTTTCCTTACAAGAAAATGCCCTTCGAGAAAGTGAAATATGTAGACTTTTGAGTCTCATCTGTATCAATGAATAGCTCTGTGGCTGTGGGGAAGTTACCTACCCTCTCTTAACACCCCATCCCGGTAAAGTGGAGATGATAATTCCTGCTGCTTGGAGTTGTGGTCAGGAGAAAGGACCTGATACAGGGCTTTTCAAATACTAGCTCGGGTGGGGCCGTGGTGGCACAGTGGTTAACAGCTCAGGCTGCCAACCAAAAGAATGGCAGTTCAAATCCACCAGTCGCTCGCTGGAAGTCCTATGGGGCAATTCTACTCTGTCCTATAGGGTCACTATGAGCCGGAATCGACTCAATGGCAGTGGAACGGGAGCTAGGGTGGAAAGGGAAGGTGAGGGTGGGAGGGGAACAGAGGGGCTTCGGCTGCAGCTCCTCCACCTTCATCTTCAATAGAGGAGTGTCTTTGGTAAGATTTCATTCGTTAAAAGAGTTCCAGTGCTAAAAAAGAAATCGTTTGAAAGCACTGATGTAATGCATGTGAAGGAGCTAGCTAGTGCTAGTACGTTATCATCCATCATTCTGTCCTCCCTGACTGCCCCTTTGTTTTTCCCAGTCATCTTCTTACTGGCTACAATCATTTTCAAGTCAGAAAGTTTTCTTAAGATGCCAGTGAGAATAAGGGGACGAGGGAGGGAGAGCAGAGGGTCCTAACGGAGGTTTGCATGGCATAAGCTGATGTCTAGCGTTAGCACCAACTGGAGTCCATCCTCTTCCTCTTCCCCACCCCCTCATACTCCCCACTTCTTGTGGAAACCCGTGAGTCTCCTATCAGCTTACCCCACCCCTCTGCTAAATTGGTTCTGGTTTCTCAAAAGTCACAAGTGTCTGGTCCCTGTAGCTAAATTGGTTCTGGTTTCTCAAAAGTCACAAGTGTCTGGTCCCTGTAGCTGTGTTTGTCGTGAATTCAAGTTGTTCTTCTCCCAGAGGCGAATGACTTTCATGAGTGTGTGCTGAGTGGCCCCCCTCCCCACCTTAGCCGTGTGTGCCCAGAGCCCCCCCCCGAGCCCTGGGGTGTCCTCCCTGGGTGGGTAACTAAAGGGTCAATCGGCCCTCCCAGCCCCCAGCACCCCACCCTCCCGCACTTGCCGGCCAATCGCCTCCACTAGAGATGCTCAGAGCCCAAGTGCGGCTGCTCCGACGTCCCGGGGAAAGCTTCTCCTCCCAGCGCCGAGCACTCGGTCCTGGCAGACACCCCAAGATTGTTGTGAGGAGTCTAGCCAGTTGGTGAACGCTGTAATCTGAACCAGCTGTGTCCAGACTGAGGCCCCATTTGCATTGTTTAACATACTTAGAAAATGAAGTGTTCATTTTTAACATTCCTCCTCCAATTGGTTTAATGCTGAATTACTGAAGAGAGCTAAGCAAAACCAGGTGCTCTCTCTGTAGACGCTCCAGTGTCTCGGAGGACCCAGGCTCTCCCCTCGTCTTCCCCGCGACTCGCCGGTCCCCTCTGGAATAAAAACCTCGGCAAGGCCGGAGGGCCCAGCGGAGACCGAAGTTCAAGAACTCCTCTGAGTGTCTGCGCCGTGAGCTCTGCTTCTCTTTCCCTTTGCTTTTCATCCTCACACTTCGTGGATATGCCAGGATTCGAAAGGTAGGTTCTCAGCTCTGGATTTTTTTCCTTCAGGGTCTGGAAAGCTTACCAAAAACCCGATGGGTGGAAAGTGGCTATGGCTGTGGTTCAGACTGTGTCAGGATATTGGAAAAGGCATAGCTGGTGATGCAATGATATGGGTAATTATAAAAAGCTGCGCCTCTGTAATTTCCATCTTGAAGCCTTCTTTTGGGAGTGGGTGTTTTACAATATAGTTCCAGAAGTCAGCCTCTGAGAGAGAGCTGCAGAAACCTCAGAGCTTTTTTATTCCTCTTTCTTTTGGGAAAGGGCAGCAGCTTTGTGTGCTGTTATTTTTTTTTTTGAAAATTTTTTAAATCTACGTTTTAAATTTGGGAGACCAATGGCTAGCTCGCTGGCAATTGTTCTGATGCATCTGCTGTTGGACAAGATAATGTGCTAGCTGAACGTTCTGGTGCTGGATTTACCCTATGTCTATGTGGGATTCCCAAAGGGCAAGGGACTCAGAAATTTCAAGCCAATGGAAAGCGGAAACTGCCAACAGAAATACATGTAAGCAAAAGAAATCCTTAAACCTTGAAGAGCTTTATCTAGATGACATCTGCATGGTCTATCCATGGAACTCTCGCAACATAGCTGCTTTAAACAAATTAACCGTGTGTGTGTGTGTGTGTGTGTGTGTGTGTGTGTGTATGTGTGGACAACTGAGCTGTAATAATGTCATCTTGGGTTGGGGACCAGCATAGCTGCTTTAAACAGATTAACCTTGTGTGTGTGTGTGTATGTGTGTGTGTGTATACAACTGAGGTGTAATAATGTCATCTTGGGTTGGGGACCAGCATAGCTGCTTTAAACAGATTAACCTTGTGTGTGTGTGTATGTGTGTGTGTGTATACAACTGAGGTGTAATAATGTCATCTTGGGTTGGGGACCAGCATAGCTGCTTTAAACAAATTAACCTTTTGTGTGTGTGTTGTGTGTGTGTGTGTGTGTGTATAGCTGAGCTGTAATAATGTCATCTTGGGTTGGGGTCCAGCACCTCTGTGACAGACAGTGCTGAAATTCGGTTGGTCTCTCCAGCTTTCCTCATATTTTAGGATGGGGGACAAAATGGGTGCTTGAGAAAGATCCTGGGACCAGTTATAAACATCAAAAAACAAAAAAAAAACCCAAACTGGTTGCTGTGGAGTCAATTCCGATTTACAGCAACCCTACAGGACAGAGTAGAACTGCCCCATAGGGTTTCCAAGGCTGTTATTCTTATGGAAGCAGACTGCCAAGTCCCCCACTATTCCTGTAGATAGTTCATTTATGGGTTTTTCTTGACAAGGTGCAGCTATTTGCAGCGCTTAAGAGCAGCAGTGCTTGGGTCTTATTTCAGTTCAGGAAAGCCCTCTCTATTAGCCTGGAGCTTGTTTGGCCCCCAGGACTCAGCTGTGGCTCTTCCAGTAGGCTGAGTTTGAGACTGTGCCTCTCAGTGGAGACCAGTCGCCGGGCTGCCCTCTAGCCAGAAGGAGTGGGGGAGTAGAGCAGGGGAGAAGGGGGTTAGCATGCCTTTTCCACTAGCTCTTGAAGTCTACTGGATTCACCAGCCTGCTCTGTCTCCAACATAAACGAGACAGGGTTTTATAACCAACTGAAAGGAAACTTCATGTGAAGAAACAGGAAAACATTGAAATTCATAATACACAGACTGGAAAATAAATTTGTTATTGTTCTTTCATTCCTTCCAGACATAAATCTGGCACTTGCAAATATCAAAAAGCTCCAGGATTTGGCTCTGCACTTTATAAGGTCAGAGCTGCCTCCAACGTTCTAGAACCTGGCCCACGCAGGCACTTAGATGAAATGAAAACTGGTGGACTTTCAGGGTCTTTATTCTTTTGGTCGGGGAAGAGGTAGAGGAAGTGGGCTTTGCCTGTGCTGGCACCAGCTCCTGCTCGGTTCCCTCTGGATGTTGAGTGAGTCACCTCCATTCTGAGGCCTTCCAAGCACCCACCGTTATTATGTGTCATGGATGTGATCATGGTTTGTAATCTATCAAACACTCTTAAAACGGAGGGATTATAAAGTAGAGGAGCACGTTGGCAGTAACAGGCCACCAAATCCTGCCACAGTGACCGGCAAGATTTATGTCCACAAGTCCATTGCCCCACTGAAGAATCCTTCAAGATCACTTTCCAGGAAGCCTTCCCTGACCTTCCTATCCCTCTCTCCAGTGTGGCTCTCTTGGCACCCAGTGGGTATTTCTGCGGGTGCCTTTACCAAAGTGTTTTGACATTATTGCTTCATGTGGCTGCCCAACCAGTTCTTGAGGGCAGTGCTTGGGTCTTAATATTATAGCTCTTAGGCCTGTCCTCTATGCCTGAAGTAGTAGTTGCTCAGATGGATAGCACTAAATAATGCTCTACATTTGCATGGATTTTGTACTTTTGACGCATATTTGTGACCACAATTATATTGGATAAGGTTTGCAAGAGATGAAGAGAAACTGCAGGCTCAGAGAGGTTTAGTTGCTTGTGAATGGCAGAGCTGGCCTGACCCGAGCTTTCTGGATTCCTCGTCCTGAGTTTTCTCATTGCATTTCTTCTCTGGGCTGCCCAGGTTCACAGGATCTTCTCTCCCACCAGGGGCGGCTGGGCAGCAGTTTCCACAGGGTGTGCTGGGAGGGGCATGTGGGAGGATGGACTGTCCAAACCTACTTGTTGATGGGGGGTGGGGTGGG